GTTGGCACGGCGTCTGACGAACATTTTCTGATTGGTGACATCAATTTGAATAGTTCAATCATGTGGCTGCAGCTCTATCAGTACCAAGAAAGACAATGTGCAGGAGGCCAGCAGGAGCCATTAGAGAAACAGCGGGGGGATGAGGATGAGATAAGAAATGCACGCACACACACACACACACACACACACACACATATACACACATTCCCTTCACCTGTGCACCCAGACACTCGTTACAGCCCACAGAGAGAAGTGGTTAGTACAGGACAGGAAATGAAAGACAAAAGAGGTGAAAATTTTGAGAAAATTAGAGGAGGATTGTGTATGTATATGTGTGGGCATCATCCATTATATACGTCTACTGTTCCAAGAAAGCTAAGATCCACAAGGGAGACAGATTTAGAGCCAACCCTCTACATTGCGAGTAAATCACTCGCATATGCGACTAAATCTTACTCTGGGCGACTAAATGTCTAATATCAGCCAATGGCTAATAAATTATCAAATTTTACTCACCAGCGTGTGAGTTGGAGGCTAAGTATAAGTTTAGAACAGATATATTTTCACTCGCCAAACACTCGGAGCACTTCAGAGTTTCGTATTCTGTCAAGCGATCTGTGATATTTTTCATTTCATCTCAATGGATGTGCAGCGCACCTGTGTTTGTGTATTTGGCGTAACGCAAACTGTAGTGTTAAGGCGCACGACTCGCCGTCGCTTTCTCTCACACGCACAAAGTGAGAGAGAGAGAGAGAGAGAGAGTCTTACATAACATGCAGAATTGATGCGCTACATGTAAACGATATTCTTTGTTGCATTTTCCTGTCAAAATAACAGAGTTCCATTGGAATTCTTTAGCTTTTAAGAACTGCCGGTTTCTCCGGTAGTGGGTGGAACTAATGCGCAATGAAATCTCATTGGCTGGCGCTCACTTATTATCGTCCCGGTTTTGATTTCAGCAAATCAGTTCCAGTGAACGCACACAACCTGATAAACATTCATGAATCCAGCAGCTTGTTAATCCTTGGTGCGTTTTATATTGTTCTTATTAGTAGAATTTGTATATTATTATTATTATCTTATCAGTATTATTGCTCGTTTTTCCCCATTTTTTCTCAAAAAAGAGCACCACCACCAGTCCTAAGTTCAGTTAAAATTACTAATTTGCATTCATACATAGTTACCAAGTTTTAATTCTAATTACTAAACTTCTATTATTAAACAATACTTGATTTTCATATTATAATGCTTGACTGCTTGACTGACTGATGTTAAGAGTGTACTTTCAGATATTTAAAAAGCTGTGCCATTTTACATATATATGTTTGTAAAATGGCACAGTTTATATATATATATATATATATATATATATATTATATATATATATATATATATGTAGTATAGTATAGTATTTCAATCTGGCGAGTAAACAAAAAAATGTACTAGCCAATGGCGATTCAATTGCCAAGGTGTCCGTAGAGGGTTGAGAGCTTTCAAATCGTATTAACAAATGATCTTATTATAGATTTATATACTTTATAAATATAAATAGTCAAGGATTATTATATTTATAGTATTGTAGCATAAAGCTGATTCTGTGGATGCAGTGAGAAACTATGTGCGTCATCTCTGAAGTTCATTACTCCTCAGCATGACCTACTTTTAAAATTTCAGGATCAATAATCTAATAAGGTTGTGTCCAGAAACACATAAGAAAGAAATGCCTCAAGACAATCTTCTGCCTGGTTTCACTGATATTATTTAAGAGTGTATTTGTCCAAAACGTCTGCTGTAAAAATTCTTAGTATACTGTTCTGTAAGAATACATTATTAGTTAGTATTATTAATTAAAGGACAAGCTGTTGTCTTGTGGCTAGAGAACTGGATTCAAAGTAAACCAGATTGTACCACTGCCCACTGAAGAGAGAGAGAAAGAGAGAGAGAGAGAGAGAGAGAGAGAGAATCACTTCCCAGTGTACTATATGGCTATCATTCTGTATCGCACCACCCGTTCACAGAATGAGATGTGGGGCTCATCTTGAGGGTTATACGAAAAGGAAGGGTATTTGGTGTACCTGTGCAACCCGTCAAATTAAGGAAGTGTGTTTCACTAAAAAAACAAAACAAAATGGTTTCTACAATAAAATGGCAAAAAAAGCTGAGTGTGTGGAGAGTGTAGTTGGTTACCTGCTGATGGGTGAGGTGTGCTCCGTGAGGGACACCAGCAGTTTGAGAGCATATACCGGTACAGGATCTGGCTCCAGGAGCAGAGTCTCATACCTGCAGAGAAGATCTGCATTAAAAAAGCTACGCAATATGTATGCAATGGGATATGCTGGGGAAGTCGTGGCCTAATGGTTAGAGAGTCGGACTCGTAACCCAAAGGTTGCGGGTTCGAGTCTCGTACCGGCAGGGATTGTAGGTGGGGGATTGTATATTATATAATTATATTTTTAATTAATTAATGTTTTGATAATTTAACAATTACAGTATATTGTTATTCAAATATTAAAAATTGTATAGCCAATAAAAAACAGTAATACAATTATTTAAATACTTATGAAAACTCACTAATAGTCATTATGTATGCAATTAGTACAGTGTCACTGATTACACACTGTACATGTATTTTTTTCATTACTATTTCATGTTTTGACAATTCAACTATGATATTATTGTCTATTACTTTAATATTGCTTTTGAATTTTTGTACAGTTTAAGAGAATATTGTAAATGTTGCATTCAGTCAAAATATTTAAAAAGTGCATGTCCAGTAAAATAACTATATAATTAAGTACTGGTGAAATCAGACATTATGAAGACTAGTAAACATTCACCCAATTATATATTATATTAAGTATTACATAGTGTAGTTTAACATATCATTAAACCTTTAGCCTATAAACTTTCATTTCATCAAACATGAAAGGATTGCTCACTTAACCGCATCTGTCTTGTGTGGATTAGAGGCAAACAGGTTGAAAAGACAGGAGATATTTGTCGGTACTGAAAAAGAAGGATTTGGAAAAATCTCTTGAAAATATTACATCTCATAATCGCATTTCATTTGAACCAAATTATTATTATCACTATTCAGAATCGAGAATTGTTTTCCCCCAAAATGATATTTTAACAGATGACTGTGCCATCTGAATTAAGAATAGTTACTTAAAAGACTTTGACTGTTGCTTCTGCCCGTGTGTTTATCTCTTTCGTGCAATTTTATATATTCAGTGAAAATTTGAAAATGGTCTGCATAGTATTGTTATTATTGCATATATATATGCAAACTGGATAAAAATAATTCACTCTAGATACTGTACGTGTATTTTTTTCATTACTATTTCATGTTTTGACAATTCAACTATGATATTATTGTCTATTACTTTAATATTGCTTTTGAATTTTTGTACAGTTTAAGAGAATATTGTCAATGTTGCATTCAGTCAAAATATTTAAAAAGTGCATGTCCAGTAAAATAACTATATAATTAAGTACTGGTGAAATCAGACATTATGAAGACTAGTAAACATTCACCCCATAATATATTATATTAAGTATTACATAGTGTAGTTTAACATATCATTAAACCTTTAGCCTATAAACTTTCATTTCATCAAACATGAAAGGATTGCTCACATAACCGCATCTGTCTTGTGTGGATTAGAGGCAAACAGGTTGAAAAGACAGGAGATATTTGTCGGTACTGAAAAAGAAGGATTTGGAAAAATCTCTTGAAAATATTACATCTCATAATCGCATTTCATTTGAACCAAATTATTATTATCACTATTCAGAATCGAGAATTGTTTTCCCCCAAAATGATATTTTAACAGATGACTGTGCCATCTGAATTAAGAATAGTTAATTAAAAGACTTTGACTGTTGCTTCTGCCCATGTGTTTATCTCTTTCGTGCAATTTTATATATTCAGTGAAAATTTGAAAATGGTCTGCATAGTATTGTTATTATTGCATATATATATGCAAACTGGATAAAAATAATTCACTCTAGACATTTCAATGACTTTTCCTTGACTTCATAAAACTTTAGTAATTTCAATTTTCCTGGTACATCACAATTTTACAATTCCCAGATATACCATGGTTTTCCAGGAACATGTATCTGCAAGCTATACAATCCTTCTCTTTCTAGTTCATCCGAGTTTTTATCCTAAACAGTCACAACCGTGATACGCAATGAGCGACAATACATTTTGTCAATGTTTCTATTTGTGTCAAACTCAATGAATATCACTGGTCCAAAATTGCTCTACACATTGTACATCAAGCATGACATATCTTCTTATTGACAGCTATTGTGTGCACAGACAAAATGCTTCATGCCTGGTTAGGACACAATCTTAGTTTCAATAAATAGAGAGGATGGAGGAGTAAACTGAGAGAGCAGAATATAGGTAAGTGAGTGGTGAGTCTTACTGTGGCAGCAGGGCCTCAGAGATGAGCGTTAGCAAGCGAGTGTTGGAGGAGATGTCTTCACCTTCCCACTCTCCCTCTCGTTCACTCCCTCCATCTCTCAGGCAAACAGGTTGAAAAGACAGGAGATATTTGTCGGTACTGAAAAAGAAGGATTTGGAAAAATCTCTTGAAAATATTACATCTCATAATCGCATTTCATTTGAACCAAATTATTATTATCACTATTCAGAATCGAGAATTGTTTTCCCCCAAAATGATATTTTAACAGATGACTGTGCCATCTGAATTAAGGATAGTTAATTAAAAGACTTTGACTGTTGCTTCTGCCCGTGTGTTTATCTCTTTCGTGCAATTTTATATATTCAGTGAAAATTTGAAAATGGCCTGCATAGTATTGTTATTATTATTATTATTATTATTGCATATATATATGCAAACTGGATAAAAATAATTCACTCTAGACATTTCAATGACTTTTCCTTGACTTCATAAAACTTTAGTAATTTCACTTTTCCTGGTACATCACAATTTTACAATTCCCAGATATACCATGGTTTTCCAGGAACATGTATCTGCAAGCTATACAATCCTTCTCTTTCTAGTTCATCCGAGTTTTTATCCTAAACAGTCGCAACCGTGATACGCAATGAGCGACAATACATTTTGTCAATGTTTCTATTTGTGCCAAACTCAATAAATATCACTGGTCCAAAATTGCTCTACACACTGTACATCAAGCATGAAATATCTTCTTATTGACAGCTATTGTGTGCACAGACAAAATGCTTCATGCCTGGTTAGGACACAGTCTTAGTTTCAATAAATAGAGAGGATGGAGGAGTAAACTGAGAGAGCAGAATATAGGTAAGTGAGTGGTGAGTCTTACTGTGGCAGCAGGGCCTCAGAGATGAGCGTTAGCAAGCGAGTGTTGGAGGAGATGTCTTCACCTTCCCACTCTCCCTCTCGTTCACTCCCTCCATCTCTCTCTCTCTCCTCCACCTCGTCTTGGCTCAGCAGCAGCAGCGTGATCTCTGACAGCACACGCAAACTCACAATACGCCATTCCACTGGGACACACACACACACACAGCAGAAGGGTTAGATATATACTCTCTCACATGCACGCAAAAAGCTAATATATGCACAAATATAAATATAACATAATACAATCAACATATCCATAGCTTGTATTCAAAGAAAAGAGAGATGTTTGTTTCTCATGATCTTAAAAACGTTTTGTTCTAAAGGTTTATGCTTAAAATGCTTGAAACGTGTAGGCAAATGCAAAATGTGCCGATCAATACATTTCGTTACATAAATAAATAAATATTAATAATTATATTATTATTTAATAACTTTGGAAAAACATTCAAAGAAAAGAAAAAGAAAAGAAAAAAAACACCAATTTTTGATCCATAATTGATTTTTTTTTTCAGCTTTGTGTAATCATGCAATCATAAACCAGCTTTCATATAAATAATTACTGTGTGCAAAAAATTATTTAAATCTTTCAATTCTAATATAAACAACCCAGGCTCATTGGAATTATGCTACCGTGGCTACAGTTCTGCTAAATCTGAAATGCTTTGCTCCGGGTACCGCTCGCTATAAGCGATATCATTTTTCTCCATTACAGATGTTATTAAACATAGTCACACAAAAAATAAAAAAATTACTTGCTTGTGAGTACAAAATGGTTGCAAAAAGATACTGAGTTACCTGTAGCAGGTCTCACTGAAGATTCACAGTGAAATATTAAACATGTCTGTGGCAATGTTTTTTTATGTTGATTTTTCTAAGTATTACAGTAGTTTGGAAATTAAATATCTGGTGAGTGGCGCTAAAAGGTTAATGCTCACATTTGAAATTAACATACCACCAGGGGCGTTTCCTCCGAGGAGGCAAGGGAGGCAGTGTCAAGGGAGGCAAAGTTGGATGAGAAAATAATCGATATTACAAAAATAAAACAGCGCAAATATGACTAAATATTATATAAAAAGTCTAAAAGTCACTCGTTTTTATAAAGTAACACTGTCCAACAGCGACACCCGCAGGTAAAGTTACAGCGGAGGCTTGCCTCCCTTCGGCCCATTGACTTTCTGCAGAGACCCCAAAGCGTGCCGTGACTTTTCTGGAGGCTCACTGAGATGAAAGGGGGAAAGCCACGTGAGAGGAGGCAATGCCTCCATCGTGCTATAATTGGATATGATCGGTTATGATTGGATGTGATTGGTTTGTGTGATAAATCCTGCCTCTTGTTTTCGTGCGAGCTCTCGGTCTGAATGAAGAAAATGATGGCGTTATTGACTAATTATAAAGTAAAGTGTTTACAGAGCTTTTATGATGATGACCCGAAATAAGTTGACTATTAAAAAAAACAGCTGAACATCAGTTCACAAATAAAAAATATTGGTAACATTTTACAATAAGGTGTCATTTAATGAGTTGACTAACATGAACAAACAATGAACATTTATTACAGTATTTATTAATCTTTGTTTACATTAGTTAATACAAATACAGTTGTTCATTGTTAGTTCATGTTAGTTCACAGTGCATAAACTAATGTTAACAAACATAACTTGATTTTAATAATGCATTAGTAAATGTTGAAATTAATATTAACTAAGATTAATAAATGATGCAGAAGTAGGCTATTGTTTATTCTTAGTTCATGTTAACTAAAATAGTTAACTAATGAAATCTCATTGTAAACTGTTTCCAGAATATTGTTCAAATTGTTACTGCCTTTAGTTATTATTTTGGAATAAGTATAACAATGCATAAAAACACTATGACATGTATAATTAGTATTAAAAATATTAAATTAAATAAAAAATAATATTAATAAAATACAAAATAGAATTATATTTGTTCTCTTTTTATGTAATATTTATATATAAAACTGCCTCCTCATTTTAAAACACCACCACACACCACTGATATATATATATATATATATATATATATATATATATATATATATATATATATATATATATATATAATGTGATGTTACAATGTATTCATTTATAAATCATGCTCTGTGGTAAAAGTGTTTTGAGGTCATAGTATAGTATTGTGCAAGGAACTGCACAACAAAAAAAGTATTAATTAATCGAGACTCTGGCCCTGTAATAATTTATGTGAAAAGGAAAAACAATATTAAAAATACAAAAAGGTGTTGGTGTTTTACTGCCACTATTTCACCTGGAAACTGCAGTGAAATTTCTGTATCGGTTTACGTTTTAAATGGCAGACATATTTCCAATGAGACTTGGTTTCATATAAATGTATATCCACTGTTAGTTGACAAAAAAAGGGAGAATGTGAAAATGGGTTCTGAACCCACCCTAAGTCCACAGGGCCCAAGAGACACCCAATTCTTTTATTCAATGTGTGCAATTTCATAGTTTTGATGACTTTACTATTATTCTAAAGTATAGATGATAGTAATAAAGAATAAATAGTGTTCCAAACCTTGATTCATAGTGTATAATTGTCTGCTTATTTGGAGCAGAAATGTGTTCTCACCATTTTTACTGAAGGCCAGAGACGCCAGCGGTGGTGCAATCAAATCCACAACCTTGGGGAAACAAAGAGAGAAGTGCATTATTCTAAAAGTGAGAAATCTCACCTATATGTGCTTAGTCTCAGCAGAGCGCACACACACGGCGTGAGTGAAAGTGAAACAGCTGGAAGCAGAAGACTGAGAAAGTGCTCTGAAGAGCTCCAATTTGCATGGAAATGTGATGTCAGCTCTGCCCTTTGATCATAGAAAGTGTGTTCCAACAAAAGGCCTTACGCCAGCTCTTTTGAAAATTAGAATCAGGTTTTTATGATTATTACCAACTACAATCAGCCGCATGGCAGCAAACGTTGTGCACAGGTGCCTTAATGTGGATGGCTGTGGGCATCTCCCAAACAAAGGACTTCACTCTCTCTGACTCTAAGTGAAAAGAACACCAAAGAAACATATTGTAAAGGTTATCTATGAATTTTCCTCTTCTTGTCTCTGTTGTAAAAGACATATTTTTTTCAGCGAGCTGCAAGTATTGTACAAGTGCTATATTAACCTGCGGCACATCTTTGATCTCTTGCCCGCTCCTTATGAGACGTTTGTCGTGAATGTCAGTATAATGGTAATTCTTCCTCTGTAGCTTAGTTGAGGTATGTTTGAATGTTAGAATCAAGTGAGTTACCCAGACAGCCATTATATGGGTCAATGACGAATACGTGTCCTTGAGGAAGGAAAATCTTTTAAAAATCTAGTTAAACACACAAGTTCTTAGAAATGACTTTTTCTATTCATGTTGTTTTCATATGGTTTTGAAAAACTCTTATACTATTCAACTCTTATACTAATGAAAATGTCAAACAAATCTATGATTTTGACCACAACTTTGATTTTGAATAAGTTTTTAAAAATAATAAGCATTAAGTTAATAAGCAATGATAAGTTACAACTACTTAAGGTATTATTATTAGTGGTAGTAGTAGTATTTGTAATGTTAATTATTTTATGATTGAAATGTTTTACTGTTTGTACAAATTGCATGGTAAGAAAATAAATAAATAAAATTAATAAGTAAAAACAGTAATTTTGTTCTATAATATAATATAATGTATTATTTATTTCAGGATTATTTTATTAAGACAGCATTTATTTGAAATATAAATCTTTTGTAACATTATACATTTTTGTACAGGTAAAAAAAACAAAAACAAAACAAAGGAAAACAAAAAAAAATCATGTATCACATCATGACTCATTCACGTACTATTACTGCATTTTTTGGAAATCATGTGGAAATTGACTTGTTTAGCTGCCAACACTATAAAACTGATTTTTTGGCATCTATGGTACCTTCCCACTGCACAAAAGGTTCTTTATTGTGGAAAAAGGTTCTTTAAATTATTTTGATTAAAATGTTCTTAACACTAAGGGAAGAGAGAAGAAAAAAAAATCTTTAAAGAACTGCTTACTGAAAGGTTCTTTGAGGGACCAATAATGGTTCTTCTGTGGCATGACTGCAAAACCCCCTTTTGGAACCTTTAGCAAGAGGGCATTTTTGAATGCAGAGCCTTTGTGTCTATAATCCTCATTAGTATTGGTTTCAATAAACCGGACATTCACATGCTATATAGAGTGTGTGTGTGTGTGTGTGTGTGTGTGTGTGTTTTGAGAGTGAAAAAATGAGATCTAATGACTCCTGGCGAACTGTAATTAAGGTGCCTTCTCCTATTATAGAGTATCAGAGAGTCTGTGTCCTCTCACCGCTTCCTGATGCATCAGTCCTACAGAACGCACATCAATACTCATTACAAAAGCCTTACACACAGAGAGATATACACACATACACACTCCCTTCACTCCTGAGTGATTTGCTGTTGCTGAGAGGTTTGTGAGAATAATAATGCTGGGCAGAGGGGAGCCGTGATCTCAGTTGTAGCTCCGTCAGGCGTGAGGACGTGAGATCTCAGGTTAGACGTAAATGTGGCCCTTGCTGCTCTGATACACAGCTTGATATTATTGTGTTTGTGAGCCTGTCATTATGGAGGGCAAGTTAAATGGCTGAACGGGGCCAAATAGAGGGTTTAGAGACTAATTTTGCCACAACATTTTCATAGACACCTTACACCATGGGTGCCCAACCCTGTTCCTGGAGATCTACCTTCCTGCCGAGTTCAGTTCCAACCCTGATCAAATACACCTGTCTGTAATTATCAATGGCTCCTTCAGATTCTAATTAGTTGGTTCAGTTGAGTTTGATCAGGGTTGGAGCTGAACTCTGCAGGAAGGTAGATCTCCAGGAACAGGGTTGGGCACCCCTGCCTTACACTTTCATGGGGAGACAAACACAGTTGTGAAATTTGTGCAATAGTCCCATAACACACTTCAACAAAATGTAGCTACATGCTGTTGAAAAGATGCTTAAATAATTGGGAGAGACAAAATGAATAGCAGAACATCAAAGAGTGGTATATATATATATATACTCACAGTGCAGTGATAGAGGCCAAGAAGAGCGGGATGTTGGGAAATTGCCTCCACTGCAGATAGTGTGTTTCTGATCAGTTCCTCAGATGCTGCTTGACCTGTTAATTGTGGATAAAATGATCATATATGGCATAAATGTAGGAATACAACAGTAATCTCACTTTTGAACAATTGATTTTCAACCAATGACTGAAAAAAACAAATATTACACTGGAAGACATCAACAGAAAAACAACATGTCTGAAAAATTGGAACTAAAATAAATACATTAGAGGCGTATATCTTAAATGTATCAGCAAAGCGCCTTGAACACTAAAGAATGTAGTTCATGCAAGAATGGTTTAAAGTAAAAAGCACAGAAAGAGAAGTTGAAGAGTTTGTGAAAACCTTAGATAAATAAAACTACAAATAAAAACTTACCTATAGCACTTCCCAAACTCGTCTCATTAGAGTCAATGGAGGTTATGTGATTCTTTCCATAATGAAAGAGAAAAGAGATATTTAAAATTACACATTTTAATGTCGATCATTCATTCATTAATTTTCACTGAGTTATGAACAAAAACAACTACCACTTTTTGGACATGTAACATGCAACATAATTAAATGGCCAATGTCAATACAGATTCTAATATTTATAGACAGGATGACTGATATGTCTAATGTAATTTAATGAAAGATGTACACAAAATTGCTGAATTTAAACAAACACTTTTTATAATAATAACAATAATAATAAATTGCATTTTGAAATAAATTTAAATAAAAACAGTTATTTGAAATTGTAATACTATTTAATATTTATATAGTTATTTTTTTTGTTCAATTACACTGCAAAAAAAAAATATTAATTGAATTCACTAATTATTTTTAAAGGTAAGTGGTTGCAATCAATTTATTTTAGCTACAATTAAATAAACAAATTTAGTAGCCTAACTTTCAACTAAATTTGTTTATTTAAATGTAGCAAAAAAAATTTGTTTGCAACCACTTACCTTAAAAAAAAATTTGTATAATTTTTTTCTGTGTGCATGCAGCCTAGGTGAGCATAAGAGACTTATTTAAAAAAAAATGAATGAATGAATAACAAATCTTACCGACCCCAAACTTGTGACCAGTACTGTGTGCTTATATAGCAAATGGCATTTTAACAATAATCACTAAACTGAGACTCACCAGCAGTTTTCCAAATTTGATGATAAAGGCCTCAGTCGCCACCTGCGGTCGGAAGATCTGTCAAAGCAAATAGGCACAGTCATGAGGCAATGTAGTCTAAAAGACACTTCACCAACCTACAACACTGTACAACATTGCTATTCACTACCCTTGAGTCTTATTCCGTTTGAGTTCCACCAAAAACTGTCAGTCTTCACTTGAGCTTTAGTGGCTATGAAGTCTTACAGTTGTCTTGAACACAGCCGGATGTACGCTGCAGATTTCTTTCATCGTACTGCAAAATTGGCAGTCTTGGATCTATTAATGCATCATGCTCACCGACGGCCAATAAATTGCCTTTGCAATGAATCTTCTGGCAGATTCTGAATTTTTAGGCCGCATTGCTGCGCTCTAGACGCTCAACGCTGTCAATCGTGAATAAAATCCCAGCTTCGATGCGCATCGTACAGTCTGACATAAGAACGTTAATGTCACTGAGGAATGTCAGCGTTAAAGTCTGCCATGGGCTTTACCCAAGATCTCATCCGGGACACATCGTACCGTACAATCTGACAAGCAATGATTGTAGAGGACAGCAAAAATCGCAAAATGTTCAGCCGCTTTAAGAGAAAATGTTACAAAGCCCTGCTGTTCTGTCAGAGGACATTTTTCACCATCATGCACCATTTCGACTAAGCAACAGAAGAGGTGGTATTTGAGTGTGTTCCATTTACATTGTCACCCTGGGATGTGATCCTCCTCTCTGGAGGACTTCAGCGCTGGTGTGAGAATGAGGGGGTTCATGTTTGTGCTGTAGGACAGTAATGATGTGAGGACAGAGGTCATAGTCGTGGACAGTGACAGGTACTGAGATCTTATCCACTCTCGCCTCTGAGAAACACACCGGACCTGACCTCTGCACTGACCCCTGTGACTGATGAGTGCTGTGAGTGTCAGCGTAGTGTGTTGGCTGTCAGTGAAGCAACAAGCCACAGAGACAGATGAGACAACAGAGAAAGCTCATCACATGAATGTATGTATGGATGCACAAACACAGAGGCATGCTCTCACATTACAAGAGCACGACGCCTCACAGAACCACACAGCAGCTGAAGAGATCACGCACATGGGGCTCAAGGGCATAAGAGGCCAGTGAAGTCTCAAAGATGCAGACCAACCTGCTACTGGGAAGACATCCAGCTATGCCCTGCAGCATTTTTCTTAATATCAGAACACACACACACACACACACACACACACACACACACACTGGACTGGTGTAGCTAGACTTTTGACTACAGGCATGAAGTCTAGCCCACACTGCAGCTTATTCTAGCCAAGTACCGCCCACTTAGGCAGGAAGGGGTCGACTGACTGACAAAAGTTTGGACATTCAAAATAACAGTAAAGACATCACGACTGTGAAATAACACAAATGTAAGTATATGCATTATTCAGTGACAAAAATGTTAAATAAAATCAAAACTTTCTTATATTCATCTCATATTTCAGCTTCTTCAAATCAGCCACCCTCAAACGACCCTTCAGCAATCATTATAATACATTGATTTACTGCTCAAGAGCATTTCTTTTTATTATCTGTTGAAAACAGCTGTGCTGCTCAATACTTTAAATAAAATAAAATCTAAATAAATAAATAAATCAATTTAACGTGTCCATGCTGAATGAAAGTAATAATTGCTTTCAAAAAACTTACTGAGCCCAAAATTTTGATCTGTAAAGAAATGAACCATATTAAACATTAAGGGAAAATTCAAAGTTTTCTAAGATCATGAGAAAATGACCAGCCACAGTTCATTTTTAAATAATTATTGAAGAAAAGAAAAAAAAAAAATATATATATATATACAGTGGTGTGAAAAAGTGTTGGCCCCCTTCCAGTTTTTTAAATATTTGTCTCACTTAAAAGATTCAGATCATCAAACTAATTTTGCGACACCGTTTCCTAGAAATTTAATCAGCCATTAAGATCAGACATTTGGACAAATATTTGCCATATTTGGGTATAATATGCATCAGGCGGCCAGTGAATGTCTGTGGGTGATATGTGGATGTGTTGTCTGGAACTGGCACTACACCAACACAACTCACTGTGAGGACCATTAAAACAGACAGACACACAAACAATCAAAAGAACTGCCTATTACCACTTTAAGTCACCCACTGCAGCTCTTGTGTTAATGGACATCAGTGTATCCTCCTTAGATGAGTTAATGACAGTGGAACTATCAGACAGACAGCTCTATCCGCGCTGACCCCTTCAAATGAGACGACTCAATCTGCTACTGAGTCTCCATGGCAAATCCTGGCCGAATGTAAAAGTGTATTAAATCAGCAGAGAGACTCATCAACTCTGCACACTGACAAACATCTTTCTCTGAGAACACCAGATCCCTTCATATTAATTTTGGTGTGACTGAGTGTGTCAGAAGTAAATCCAATTTTGCACTGTGTGGCAACTGGTAATAATCTGTGTGTGTGTGTGTGTGAGAGAGAGAGAGCGCGCTGAAGCTGCACCGGAAAGCTCTTTAATAGATCATTTCATTCTGATACAGACAGTGATTACACTCAGTGCGTGACAGGCAGGTACGGCACATCCTTTATTTTCTGTTCAGATGAAGACAAAGTGAGAGGTGGATGAGAGTCTGGAAAGTTTATTTTGTAGTTAGTTTAAATGACGCATAATGATTTACACATTTACTCTTTTCAAACATTATCTATCACAATACCTCTCTATACTTCAAAAATGAACTTCATGTTCTTGACCATTTTTATACTTATGACAAAAGCTGCATCCGAATATGCATTCTTCTCTAATATATACCAGGCGAAAAACAATGTGTGACTGTTTGTCATAAAACAACATGCAAAAGCAGTACGGATAATCTACTACTTTTTTAATGGTTGCAAAGTGATTACTTGTTCAAATGAAGTGCCTACTTAGAGAGTATGCAATTTTGGAGCAAGCCACAGACATCTTTTGGCATCTTTCTGGCATTTTTTATATTTGTCATAAACATTGAATTAAATGCGCTATGTCTACTTTAAATTCAAAATTACTCCGTAAATGTACAACACTACTATGCACAGTATTAAGTTGCACATCTACTGAAAATAATTATTTTCTGTTTTCTTTCATTATCCGTATTGATGCACATATATGCTGCGTACAATATAATTTTACCCATGTATTTCAAAGCTTTTAAAGGGACAGTTCACCCAAAAATTAAAATTACCCCATGATTTACTAACCCTCAAGCCATCCTAAGTGTATATGACTTTCTTCTTTCAGATGAATCCAATCAGATATATACAGTATATGTGACCCTGGACCACAAAACCAGTCATAAGGGTCAATTTTTTTAAATTGAGATTTATACATCATCTGAAAGCTGAATAAATAAGCTTTCCATTGATGTATGAAAATCGCCTTTGAATTTGTCCAAATGAAGTTCTTAGCAATGCATATTGCTAATCAAAAATTACGTTTTGAAAATATCTTCATGGAACATGATCTTTACTTAATATCCTAATGACCTTTGGCATAAAAGAAAAATCGATAATTTTGATCCATACAATGTTTTGCTAAAAATATATCCAAGCGACTTAGTTATGACTGGTTTTGTGGTCCAGGGTCAAATATATATAAAAAAATGTCCTGGCTCTTCCAAGCTTTATAATGGCAGTGAATGGGTGTTACTATTCAATAGTCCAATATAGTGCATCCATCCATCAAAAAAAAGTGCACCATGTGGCTCCAGGGGATTAATAAAGGCCTCCTGAAGCGAATCGATAAGCCCCATGTCATCCAGCTGGATGCCACTCTCTCGCGAACGAGCGTACGACAGTTAGCGGAAGCTAGAGATTACGGTTTATAAAGTTTTAAATATGGATATTTTTCTTACAAAAACATTAATTTGCTTCAGAAGGCCTTTATTAATCCCCACGTGGTGCACTTTTTTGGACTTCTATTGGACTACTGAATAGTAACCCCCATTCACTGCCATTACAAAACTTGGAAGAGCCAGGACAATTTTAAATAAGACTCAGATTGTATTCGTCTGAAAGAAGAAAGTCATATACACCTAGGTTGGGGTAATATTCATTTTTGGGTGAACAATCCCTTTAATGTTCAAAGAAAGAAAGAAAGAAAGCGTTGGTTGAAGGTAACTTTAACAGTGTATTTTTAGACTAGTTTAGTGTGGGAATACCAGTTTATTTGACCAATGGAAGATGGAGAGTATTTGAGAAACATGTTTTCATTATTTTTTAAATTTCATTTTATGACACAAGTGGCCCAGAAATCACACATTTAATGTTTAAGCACTAAAACAGGGAAACAAATAAAAAAAAAAAAAATACATAACTTTTTAAAATGTTATATAAATTACACATTTAATTAATAATAATTTATGCATTTAGCAGACGCTTTTATCAGCATATAGCATTCAGGCTATATCTTTTTTTACCAGTATGTGTGTTCCCTGGGAATCAAACTCACGACCTTTTGCACTGCTAACACAATGCTCTACCACTGAGCCACAGGAACAGAAACATTTAACTCAGGAACAAATTACAGGCAAGGGCTGCAATATTATGACAAAAAACAGTATTGTTGATAAATGCTCTTGACACTGTAATAATGATTATTAATTCCGATTAATAGAATACATACGTAAAAACATTTTTTGTGTTTGGGGAAACATCACATATTCTGGCTACACAGACAAACATGTCGGTCCATGACAATAGTCTAGTCTAGCGCAGGTTATGCAAAAACTCATGTTATAATCACTGAAGCTGCAAAATGAATCTCTTACTTACATCTTTGTAATAAAATTGTATAAACTGCACTTCGCTGTTTATGAGAATTCGCGAGCGTGCATAATTACGCCAGTGAGCGCACACTCACCAAAACGCCTGCGTTTTCAGTGCTGACTAATCTAAACGACTCTGATTGGCCAGTGCATTCATAAGCTCAAAAGTATTTGGTAATAATGCTCAATGCTGAAAAAATAAATAAATAAATAAATAAACAAACATGTAAAAAGCAATGTGCTCAGATCTAAATGCAATTCTGTGAATGAACATGTTTAATTCATTTTCATATTTAATTTTAATTGCGGTATTTAATTGTGCAGGAGCAATTTTTGCCCCTTTATCTTGAATTTATTTTTCCATTTTGGTGCCATTTTTGTTTATTTTGGTGGCGTTTTTGGATCCTGGAAGGAACACTGTGACCAAGTGGTATTTGGATGTTCCAGGTGGATGTTCAGCTTGGGCAGAAGGGAGGATCACTGTAGTGTTAACTCTGATTGATACACCACGTTAAAGGAATAGGGAGGGAAAAAAAGGATAAAAGAAAGAAAAGCAATTTGAGTCATCATTTACTTCATTATTGTCTTCAACACTTTGGCCGAAGGATCAAACATTCACTATTTACTGAACATCTTTTTTTTTGCGCTTAAGCATACTCAAGTCTACTAGACATTGTGAGAATCAACTGCAATTAACATCACTGACATCAAACAAGGCATGTCTTTATGCACCAAGTATGAATATGCCATTTGAGAGCTAATGCAAAATTTTCAGTAAATAAAGACTGTTTAGAATTTAATTACATTTTTTTAAGTTTATTTGAATAGGGACAATACAATAAACATAATTCCAGTCAAAAACGGGAAAACATGCACTGCACATAGAGATAATAGCTGATGCTAATTCACATCTCATGTCCCTAAGTTTTTCTAAAAAAATCAATACAAATATAAATAACCAAAATAATTATCATAAAATAACTATCTGTAGCCTACCAAACAAATAAAGAATCTGAAAATATGGAAAAAGAAGAATAAATAAAGAAGTTTAGGTCTGTTCCTGATGCACAGCTATTGTATGGCTTGAGAAGATGTGCAATATTGTGCATGAAGGTCACATTAGCACAATTTCAGTGAGGGGGACAAAAAAACAGTAACCTATGAAGCTCTGATGACACAGATGCCACTTTCAAAACAAGAAGCAATGTGACAAATTTGTGAACTTGAATGTAAGAATCTGCATTCAAACATTTATTGTTTGAATTTCCTGATAAAAGAATTTGAAAGATGACACTTTGTTTCTTATCTAAAGTAACAAAACACGAAACTTATTGCGATTATTGGACAAGAGGTGTGATATATGTCTTGTGAAGTTTTATTCAAGCATGAACAACAGGCTAAAAGATCAATCTTGGGATTTAAGAATCAATATTGATTTACTAAAATGAAGATTTATAAAACTAGGAGTTTCAAATTAAGTTTCTCATGTGCAGTGGTTAAAAGAGTACATGTGTGTACCGAACTGAAAGACCCGTACCAAAACTATTCGATACGAATGTGTACAGTTACACCATAGAAATTATTATTTAGCAGCCGAATATCTTGTTTTGTGTTTCACAGAAGACAGACAGTCATACAGGTTTAGTATGACATTAAAGAGAGGGGAGAAAAAAAACATAAAATAAAATATTTTTATGGTAAATTGTTCTTTAAAGGGGTGGTTGATTGCGATTTCACTTTTTTAAAGTTAGTTAGTGTGTAATGTTGCTGTTTGAGCATAAACAATATCTGCAAAGTTACGAAGCTGAAAGTTCAATGCAAACGGAGATATCGTCTTTTAAAATTCTGGCAGTTTAATGCCTACAAAAATGGCTGGTAGGGACTACAACAAGTTACTTCCCGGGTTCGTGATGTAATAAACCAAGATAAACCACACCCTTGGGAAAAGGCAGCAAAGGGGGCGAGGCCATGCTGCGCTGCTTTAGAGAAGAGGAAGAGAAAACTAGAGGTGCCCTTAAAAATCTATTCATATATGAATGGCGATTTTGTCTTCTAACGATTCTAATGGATTCACAAGTTTCAAAATCAATGTTCTAAAGCAGCGGTTCTTAATACTGTTCCTCGTGTCCCCCTGCTCTGCACACGCTCTGGATTGCATCTCCTCTCTCTCTCTCATTCAGCTCAGCTCCAAAAATGAACTGTTACAATTATACACTTATTTTCACATAGCTATGAGAAGCGTTAAACATGGACACGTGTGCAGTTTCCGTATTGTATTAAAGCTTAAATCAAGATAAAACCCTATATTAAAATCTAACATAAGCAGTAGCATTTACAAATAACAGCATATCTAAAAGCATGAGACAACAACAAACAAAAAACATAGGCCTACCATTAAAAGGTGTGCTTGCACAGGTTCTGCACGATCCTCTTCAATAAAATCCTGTGCTTCTCAATTGGGCTCAAACTGATAAGCGATATTAACGACGCCTTGTTTAAAATACAACCGGAGCACATGCCGCTGAGGTGAGGGGC